TTTAAATTTGTATATAACAGTAGAAATATAAAAAAAGCTAACCCCATACAAAGTATAACTTGATTTTTTAAGTAGTATTAAGCCTTTTATACTATTTTAAATTTTTAATGTATTTGAGTAACAAGTATTTGAATACTTTTTACTGTATTCGAATACTTTTCAAAGTAGTATTCGAATACATTCTAAAATATTTGAATACTTATTTTTTAAAGTATTTGAATACTTTTCAATGTATCTGTATCTAATAGTCGCTTGTGCTGGATGTAAAAGTATTTAGTATTCAAATACTTTTTGAAAGTATTCTGCCCAGCTCTGGATATATCTACCTTTTTATTATACCATGTATCTACCTAAAGACAGAATGCTTGAATAATCGTGCCTTTCACAGATATAATTTTGTCGTGCTAATACTGTTTGCGCCCTCTGCGGTAGGGTTGAAGAGCTATCAGTATTTGTTGTAGTGCAGCACCCTCCTCTATAAATATAGGTTTCCCCATTGGTAGGTTAAATTTTATCTATAGGTAACTATATTAAAAATATTCAAAGGTAAAGATGGTAACTACGAGAAGTGTCTTCATCCTCTTCATCAACAAATGCATAGGTAGCAGCATAGTTACACTACATATGGTAAAAGTTTCACGCGACTATTTTCCCGGTTTCTTTTTAAAAGGCTAATAGGTTGAATACCGTCCCTTTTGTATGTTATTTACATGTTCAAGCGCGAATTCCATCGACCTCTTCCCCTTTTTTATTTAATGATAGGTAATACCAGCACTGAGTGACCGTCCAAAAGTTTTCACAAACAAATTTTAAATCCTATTCCATTTTTGTCTCACTCTCGCGATTCTACAGTTCAAGAGTGCTAATATAATTTCCTCCCAAAAGCAATCGCTAGAACTAACGTTTACATCAAATAGGTGTAAAATACAAATAATTGGCAAGGGCCTAACCGCCGCGCCGTCAAAAATTTTAAGGTGGTAGTAGACGACGCTACGCATCGACTAAAAAACATTTCGCCTTCCAGGTTTATTTGCCCACACACACAACCCAAAACCTCTTTTAATCGCCCAAAGTTGCGGTCGACGTACATGTGTTTAGTTGCCTCTCACGACACGCAGTGCACCCTGAGAATTGATATAGGGGTATTCTGTCCCGCCCTATACGGGTAAATAGCTGCCGAAATGACAAAACCACAAATCTTATCATATTGTACAAAGGTAATAACATAAAGTTACAAATAGAAGTGATGCATTCAGGACCTCTCGGACATCTCTTGACTAAAATTTATATCGTTTCAGCATCTATTTTAGTTCAAAATTAACCCATTACATTGTCCTACATTATACAGGGTGGTGACTTGCCTAACGCATCATAGGGATTTCAATGCGTAAAATTCATAACATGCGATTATTGAGACCATTCAAATATTCTAAAAGCCTCTATAAACCAATGAAGTGGCTCTATTGAAAATTCTATATCACCTGTACTAGCACCGTATGAGACATGTGCAACATATGCACTTGCACGGGGCGTAATTTTATTAAGGGTGCACAATAAGATTTGTAAAATACCATAAAACAAACAAATCTATGAAAATACACAGCACCTGGAATTATAGCCCCTTACCCCTTAGATTGCATTTCATGTTTTGGTATATCTCTTAATTTAATTATTTTCTTTTATTGTTATTCACGGACACTGTATTTTTCTCATAAGGTTAGAATTTCGTTTCATTTTCTTTATATTATTTTTGTACTCTATACCTATTGATATGTTGTTGTCCTGCAATTGGAAAATTTAAAATTTATTTTTTTCTGTTGGACATTAGATATTATTATTATTATAGCCATTCCCAAATATAATTATAGGGTCTAAAAAGCGCATTTTCTTATGTATTTAAAACTATACATACGTAAATCCTCGACATTCAATTAATAATAGTCGATAATGCTTCAGATAATGAACAATCGTATAATCTAAAAGAAGAATGTGTCCAAGCAATCAACACCTTTCATTGTTAAAAGTGCAAATTTGAAAGAAAATAACAATTTGTGTAGGCATTAAGAGCGCAAAATGATATATTGTCGATTGAGACAGCAATCTCTTGAAATCGACAATCAATTTGCGCTCGAATTACACACGAGATTTTTTCTACAATCGAGCAGTTCACATATTAATCATTAAATTGTGTTTGACAATTCAGTGTGTACTGTCACTTTAAGTGACACTTTATAGTCCCTTAAATGAATGACAAAACATGTTGATTTAGTCCACCGAGTACAAAAAATGTTTAAAGGATTAGTAGCTGCATATTTTAGTGTGTGGAGAGTCAATTAGGTATGCCATCTTTTGATGTTTTTGGATGAAATTTCAAAAATATTGTGACTTTTTTATTTAAATATCGATTATATGTTCTTCGCATATTTTGCTATTTTAAAAACCTGCAAAAATTAGTGTACATTTTATGTGCATATATATTTATCTTTGTGCATAAGAAGTGCATGCATATTTTAACCAGTTATAGTGCATTCAGTTGTTAATAAACAAAATTGTATCAAATATAATAAACGAGCTCCTGGGTTACTGAAAATTTAATCAGTTCATCCTTGGATGATATAAACATAATACTGAATACAGAACTGTAAAATTCGACACAGTTCGCGAGTTATCACATGTACACAGACAAATGGACAGACAGTGCAAAATCATGAACTCGCTTAGGAGCTCGTTAATAATTCGTGTGCTTAACTTCTGCTAAATTGTCCCTTTACCACAATTATACATCTAAAACTAGTCTAAGAAAATTATAGGGCGTTGAAAAAGATTGTTACAGTACTGGCTTGTAGGTTAAAAATCTCTAAAACATGCAATGCTACAGAAAATAATAAATTTACAAGGAAATAATAGAAAAAAAAGAAATTTTATATAGTATTAGACCTAGTAAAGTGTACTTTGCACAGCAATTGCAGGGATACATTATAGACTCAATGCGGGAATTTTTGCCTCAAAAAATTGAGAATCTCTTTTTAGAGGGGCTGAATTACCAAAGTTAGTTCCAAGATTTTATTAATAAAACGGAAATCATCGACTTTGCGTTCCATTCCCATACAACTAAATGAACTTGAATAATTTTGATGTAATGAATCATTTTAAAAACCACTTACCTCTGTAGATAAGGTGCTGAGGCATCATTTAGTATTTGAACAATGGCTGAAGTTTGATTATAACGCTACCATAGAATTACCAACCACAACATTATATGCATATTGACATATAATTAAAATGGGGGCAATTTTTTTTCTAAAAATACTACTTATAGCATAAGACAATCTTCAAAATTTCCACCTTTCCCCCCCAAAAAAAAAAAGGAATTCTAAAGTTACAAAATCTCAAAAACGGGTTAATCTGTTATACTGAAAGTCTAAAGTTTCGCTGGACTAGACAAAAAACAGTTGGACAAATTATTTGTAGAAACAGAAAAGGAAACAAACATGCAGATAAATGCCCCGGTTCTTAAATTGCAATGTTATAATTTATAAAGATGAAGGTCCATGCAAGAAAAGATAGTGTGCACTGCATGAAAATAATACAATAAAAATGATGTTCAATTAGTTACTCCAGGTGGACGCTAGAATCCAGATGCAGGAATACCTGAAACAGAGAGTATACACTTACCATCAAACGAAATACACCAAAGATGACAAAGAATTAGTAACAGATTGAAAAAAAGTGTAACAGATAATACTTAGTTTATTACTATAATACATTTTAATTTTTAAATATATATTATTTATATAATACAAGGCATATTAAGTACATGTGCCATATAGAAACAGCTTTGTGCTTTAAAGAACGGAAAAAAAACATAGTCAAAATATTAACATTATTAGATAGCAACGCCATAACATTTACAAAATTTTGCTATACACTTTTCTTACATATTAAAGATTAGGATATTCCCTATGCTGTAATAGACTTCAATTGCAATTGATTTGCAACAATAATCATTTAACAAATTTAATATACACAACAACTGTTCTTTATTGTAACTAAACGATGAATATTTCGGTATATCACTCTTAAAATTAAATTGATCCTAAACACTGAAAGCAACTATAATATTAAAATGCAAATTTAAAACATTAAATACCATTGTTTGGAATTTCAGTTATCCTCTTAAGAGAAATGGACGGAAAGTAGAACAAACTTTCAAGTTCTTGTTATAATGTAAACTTAAAAAGGTAAGAACGCTAAAATCAATAACCGTAACATAAAGTACCACACTTAGCCCTGCTCACACAAGCGCTTATAAAAATCAAAAGAATTTCTCATTCTATCAATAAAATGTTAAGTATCTCTCAATCATTACGGTTATAGGTATATTAAGTACATATGAATACAGTAAAATTTATCTCTTGTATATATTATGCATAGTGTACAACAACGGACTACCACTAAATCAGCCAATACTAATCAATGAAAGGAATAAATTGAGCTTTTAGTCGGTCCACACCATCTAAACCAGTTAGATGACATCTATCACTGTAATCGTCACTTACCACACTACAGCATCGTATATACATACAAATTGCACAGTCAGTCCAGGCAACACACACATCATATTGGTCCAAATCGATAAATAACATCTTTAGAAGACTAATAAAGAAACAACTGGCAGTTTAAATGCAAAACTTTACGCTACTATTTTAAAAACACGTTTTAAAAGAAGCAAATGCTATTAGAGCTCAAGTTAATTCATCCTTTATAAGGGCTAGTATATGAGGAGGATCCCTCGTGAGGATTTACACGGGATTTATAATGATATGCATTATTCGCAGTTCTAAATCTCGAAATTGCTACATCATAGATACAGGGCGTCCACATAGGAACAGTCCATTTCAAAAACTTGACTAACGAAAATGTTCTTAAGTAATTCTCGCCGTGGATTTTGTAACACTTTTTGCTCACAGCAAAAAATTGTCAGTATAATGCAGGGATCAAAATAGTGAGCAAGCTATTATATAATATTAATCAAAATACACAGGTACATACAAATTTAGTGGATGGGAAAAGGAAAAACACTATTTAAAAAAATACAACAGTTGCGCATTTTATCAGAAATTGTTTGATTTACGGATTGGGATATGCTTCCATATTTGGCATGCCCAATATGAGGTGGGATCTTAATCTTAATGCGCAAGGTAATGTCCAAAGACGCCCTGTATTGTTACAAAAATTTAGAACCCAACATTACTTGTAGCTTCACGAACTTTTTTCTTCAAAAAATATACGTGTAGCCATTATGTAATGGTAATAAGACCATTGCATCTTTCAGTAGAAACTTGTCATAACTAAAACTAAACTGGGAATGATCGATGATATGATAAAACGAACGAACCTTCACCAAGTGTCTGGTATTTTATATGGGAGATCCGAACGCGTATTGCTTCCTAATATTGGCACAATATATATTCGAAACGCAAGAACATTTGCTTCCAAAAAAACATCTGCTGCAACAGTTAACTATGTTAAATTGACATCTAGTTTAATACTTGTTGTGCATATAGGTACATTTTGGAAGCTTAATACTATAGGCGAACTTGAAATGCCTGCGGCGAAGTGGAATTTGATAAGAAAGGATTGGTACTGTTCGTATTTTGCCTTGCGGCCAGGGCGGCCCATTCCGCGTCGAAAGGGTCCGGAGATTTGGAATAGGTGGCGGCGGAGTCTAGGGACATCGCGCGGGAATGGGCCGACAAACTGGGCTTGCTTCTCGGCGGTATACCGTCCACGCCCGACGAGGGCGTTGCCAAATTTACTATTTGTCCCAGCCACTGATCTGGTTTCGGTAGGCTCGCGTTCGAGCCTACGCTAGGATTCGGCGAGGGTTTTGCAGGAGTGTAGGTCTGGTTGAAGTTGAGATTTACCGGCGTAATCGTTTTGGCCAAAGAAGGTGCGGGCGTCGAGCTGATGGATTGCGTGAAACTATTACTGGTATTGGTTGTTGACAGTGTAGGGGATGAAGTTAGTGACTTATTGAAATTGATTGTTGTGTTAGTAACAGTAACCGTTAAATTGTTCTGATTTTGATTTTGATTCACAGACAATTGGTTGTTGAAATTAAAATCGTCTGAATTGCTGTGAGTTAATTGACTTAAACCTTGTGATAACTGTTGGCAAAGAGCGGTTACGGAATCTCCCGGCGATATCTCTGGTATTGGTGAAACGCCCTTAAGGTCGGTTGGCGACGTAGTACCGTTCGATCTGTAGGCGTTCAGTCGCTCCGTATTGCTAGGCAGATCATTAACTCTCAATGACATCTGCCGTTTAAACGGAGAATTTTGACCGATAATCCCAATACCACGACAACTACCTTGCCTCGCAAGCAAACTGGCAGTGGCATGAGGTCTTTCAATTGCAAAAGGATTAACGGGAGGCGCTTTACTACCAACGTCCACAGCTCGCTCGAGCCTCTCCGTCAAACCGTGTTGCCTAAACGATCCGGTCCTCGTAAACGTCGAATTTTTCGTATCGAACGTCATAGTCACAGCACACTCTTTATCCCTTCGTTGCTTCCTTTCGAGACAAACGGCGAACGCACAGCCGACGGCGTGCGATAATCTCTCACCAGATTCTCGCAGCGCCAAAAATCCGTGGCACATCCATCTTCTGGTCGTGCCATCTCTACAAATATAACTAAACCCGCGATCGTGATTTCGGTCGGGAGCACAGAAGGATACTTTCTCTATAGTTTGGTCTACGATTAGACCTTTAGTCTCTTCTTCCACAACACGAAGTCCGTCACCACTGACGTGAAGAATCGCCCGAACAGGTCGTCTTCTGGAACCCTATAAACAAACAAAAACTACAATTACATTTTATGCACATTGAATCAGGTACATTTTTTATAATCTGCGACGATTAATTTTAGAATCGAGTTTCAAGTTTTTACATCAAAATCAATATAATACGCACACAATTGGTTTATTTAATTTTAACTTGTTTTTTTCGTAATTGAGTTGACCGCAAACCATTACACAGCATTATTTATTTGGCGCCCAACGTGGGGCCACAGCATTATTTATTTAGTGTCCAACGTGGGGCGCTGTGTGCAGTTGTCCATTCCGAAATAAAAAAAGGTATGGTTTTATTATTGAGTTCCAGAACTAGAAGATAGCTGGAAGAAGTTGCATTAGTGACGTAAAAAGGAAATGACGAAAAACATCATATATGAACTATAGTCCAATTCCATATGTGGATGTGTTTTCATGTTTAATACAAAAAGTTTGCGCCCCTCGGGACTCGCAATTTTAAATTTTTATTGACTCAATTTATAAATGAATAGAGCAGCAATTTGGATGAAGAATTGTGGCGTCTCTCATGTGAACTTTCAATTAGAAACATTTACCGCAAAAGTGACACCAGGAGACTCCTACCGAACGGTGCGTTTTCTGGTGTACCTACTTTTTCTTTTCATTAAAATTATTCATTATTATAGTGCATTGAAGGGTGGTTGGTACTAACTAAATTATATTATGATTGATATTAAATCAGACATATCAACTCTTAACTAACGCCAACAAAAATTAAAGGTAATACCTATAAAGAGACCTTGATTTTTTCGAAGTTATACGTACATAGTTGTTACGTAAGTGTAATGGGAGCGAACTAGGGATGTCGGGCTCTAATTAAATCAATTATTGTGATGTCAATAAGGTACGCATATTAACCCTTATATAACACGAATATTCATACCCATACGTTTCATTTTTTGGAAATAATTTTTAAACTTAAAACCTCGCTTAAAACGTTGTGTTTAGGTAAACGAAATGGCGAAGAACAAGTTCAGTTTCGTGTTACTTAAGGCACTAATGACATCAAACATTGTAATTGAAACAAAATCTATATTTATATCAACCCTCTTAAATAACGCCAACAAAGATTATACTCATTCGCGATTCAGATTAACAGTAAGACCTCTGATGGCAGCACATTGTAATTATTGTAATTGATGGGATACGACCGCCATTTTGTTTGTTTAAAATGGACAAAAGGCCAAAACTAATCAATATTGTAGTGTTTACGGCTGTAAAAGTAAATACACAAAAATTTCATTTGCAATCAATGTAATTAGATGTTAAAGAGCAAGGATAGTTTAAAACTTCATATTTTATCACTTCAAGAATTTTAAATGTGATGAGTGTAATTCGATAATTTAAAAAGTGGTCGTCTAACGCAGAATATTTCCAACGTCTTTAATTGTGAACAGTGCAATTACACAACCAACAATAAGGATAAGTTAACGTCTAACCCAGTGTTTCTCACCCTTTTTTGTCTGGCGGCACATTAAAATTATTAAACAAATTTGCGGCACCCCTAAAAGTATTATAATTTTTTGCGTTACAGTTTTGCGTTACAGTAAAACTCGGCAGCCGAAGTCGAGCTCGACCTTCTCGCCTGGCTCATAATTGTTTAAAGCGCATTTGTCCATTGAAAGGAAATAAGGCATTAAAATGGTCGATGTGTCTTTGAAATTGGCGAATATACGCATTTAAATGCAATACCAGCATATGATTGATTAATGAATTAAGAAATAGAAATAAATAAAATAGAAATATAGAATTGTAATAAAAAACGAATATTCATTTTTATAATTGTTTTAATTCCATTTTTAATTTATGTAATTTTAAGTTAATTCTGTATAAAAATTTCTCGGCACCCCTTTATGAAGTACTGGTGCCGCGGCACCCACTTTGAGAACCACTGCTAACCTCTAACGCGTAACATTTCCGCAGTATTTAATTATGAACCGTGCAGCAGTTACAAAACAACAAAAATAGGAGATAAGAATAATACGTAATCCTTTGACACATACTCCGGTTTGAAGAACTTTCTATCACTGCTATCACGGTAATTACGCTACAATTAAGCGTTCACTTAAAGTGTGTGCGATTAGGCATGCGGATGCCACAAACAGTAAAAAAAATTTAAATCATTAAAGCGCGACACTTCGAAGAATGCATATTGTTTAAATTGTGGTCAGCGTATAATTTTGCCACAAATAGTAAACCTGTTTTAATGCATAATCAACGTAAGGGAATGTCGGTGAGTTGTACGAGTGCGGGAGAAATTCTTTTTCTGAGGTAAACGTAATTTGGACAGTCTTGTCAAATTTGGGGTGTTTGAACGCACGCACCTATTAAAGTAGTAATAAACTAAAACGCAGATATTGAATAAAATTAGAATTAAAACGTAGTCCATAATGCATATTTTTGGTTAATTTTTATCCGTTATTGCGTACCTAGTTCACATGAAATATGCAAAATCCATTGCCACTCTATTTAGCTGTCTTCAAGGGTAGAATTTCAATAATGACTTAGTAATTAATACCAACACTTATATTTACAAAAAAAATATTGGAAAACTGTAGATACTTTGTCTATTGCTTGATTTCAATTTCTTGAACTAAGTATTAATAATTTACACCGAAATTGGGTCATAAAAATAGATAAACACCAAAAATCAATAAAAAGGCCATTATATCCTAAATATTCATTCACCTTTTCTCTTCCTTGCATTTCCCTTAGTACCTTTGGCCACGTTCCAATAAGTAACATTTGAACAACTAATAATTCGGGCCACTTAAAAATAACGTAATGTTAAAAATGCAATACTGACCCTTAACACCTTTATTGCTTCTTCGCACACCTGCATCCCTCGCGATTCGAAGACCTCGACGCATCCCAAATATTTGACGGTAAACGTGCACGTCCCCGATCGAACGGCCGACTCGTCCGCCTGCCATTGATGCGGCTTCGAACTTTCGGGCATCCTTTCTTTTCGCCTCCGGAAGGAGTCCCTGAAAGATCTTCGTAATCGATCCATTTTACGAGGCGAACGAAGACTTCTCCTCTGTAACCAAAATCATACGGTTAGTTAATCGATTCTGAAGTGCTCCATTCAGTTTGAATTGTCACTATTTACGATTTGTTTATTGCCACGACTCCATAGTACTGTAAAGGATTACGGATTAGGGATTATATTTACTGGGCACAATAATGAAACTCGAACTGAACCTTGTGGGACACCACCAGTATTTGACGGCAAAGAATTATCTGCAACTTTTTCGATTTCTGTTGTTTGTCTTGTGACTTAGTTTACTTTTTTTTACAAAAAAAGAAATGGAGAAGGGAGAGATTCCTGGCGCGGATATTTACAACATAATCGACAAATATTCGTCAAAGAATAAGAGTCGAAAATCCGAAAAGAAAATTTTCTTTTCTCACATCATCGGATATAGATTTCCCATTTACTGAGGATAGACGCAACCAACGACGTTCTTAGATAAAACGATGTGACAATTTCCGTCGGGAAACCGCAGAGAACGAGAGAACAATTCCCGTTCGTTTTTTTTTTTTTCGAAACATAACAAAGATGGGAAAAACCTCTAATATTCTCACACGGACGGCTCTCAACTTAACGCCATGAAAATGAAACTGCACATTCCAAAAATAGGAACGGATGTTTATTTTATTACAATTTAATTGCGGCAATTAAAAGTGAAATAAACTTTTACAATCATTGACGCGCGTGCTTTAGTGCACATTTTTTGCAAAATAAATTTCTCTTCATTCTTAAATTACACTATCGGCGGGTACTTACGTCCATTTTTAATCCGAGAAGCTGCCTCCAACTGAACATTGAAGTCACTTTCTCCACCAGACTGAATTTCTATTTTTCTCTGATCTTTTTGATTTCCAACAGGGGCTCTTTTAATCAATTACAGTATCCGCTCAAGCGGTGAGGGGGTGAAGAACAAGTCGACCCTCGGCGATGCTTTTAATTTTAAAAGGGCGCCCCCTCGAAGCTTCCCATCCCCTTTCCGAAACAAATCTTTGAACATTTCGCAAGGGAATGAAATTTAAAATACCGATCGACAAGCTAAATGTAGTAATAAAACCGCTGAGAAAGCAGCTTGATTATTTCAATCAAAAGTTTAGTCTAGTCAATGAGTAAGTGCTTAAGACGGTAATTTGACACGTATGTCTCATATTACGACATGCACAGTCAGAAGCCGCATTTTGTTTAACTACAGACTAATTTTCTTGGAGGACACATGATAAGTTTCGCTTTTTTTCTGTTTGTGTGTTAATCATTTTAACATTTGCATACAAACAACTGGAATTCTTAAATTGAGCGTATTAAAATGGTTTACGTGTTACGTCACACAGCAGAAGGTTATATTATGATGTCATTGATCAAAAAGCATAAACAGAGAGGTGGAATAACATTAGAATAATTGAAAAGTGAAAACTGCACACTAATAGGTATTTTTTATAGGTCGTCAATAAGCTAAAAAGTTAGCTCCCAAAATTTTAATTTTAAAACTTCTCACTCAATGAGAGGGGTAGGCAAAGGATATGGTTTCGTACAAATGCTTGCTCCATTTTCTGTTTGTACCTGACCCAATTGAAGACAGCAGCCAAAAATACGAAAAACACCCGATCGATCATGGGAGAACTTGAAGCCGTTGTATAAGATCATTGATATTCCTAGTTTTACTCTCGGTTTTACTATAATTACAAAGAAAGTAAAAGGTCTTTCGCATTTGACATTTTCCTGCACTTCTCTCATAAAGACACCATGTCAAAGTTTGTATGCAACAGGATAATAAATGAAGCTTGTTAAGAACTTGATGAAGATATAGGACTCGACCATATTTTAATCTCGATTTTAATTTTCGATTTTTTTGTCAACAAAAAATTACGTAAAAACATCAACTGAATGTCTGTATTACCTAGTCTCTATTCTTAATAGCGCGAAAACACAGTTAGTGGTTTCTACAATATTTTAAGGCGAGCGCAAGTTCCTGTTTTTGATGATGTAGACTTGTAGAGAACCCTGAAAGTGCTTGCTTCAAATTTACAATTTGATTCTGAAATCCTTGGAAAGTTCCAGCTCCATTTAAGTAATGTTACTATACTTGCGTCTATAATAATGAAGAGAGCTTAACAAAATTATGGTACACTTAGATAGTATTGTAACGAATATTCCAGAAATCCCGATAAACAACGAGGCGACATGAAAGATGATTAATAATGAACGAATGCGGATGTGACGTAAGCTTTCCGAAAAATATGACGTGTTTGTCCAAGAACATTCTAGGCAGAATGTTGTTTGCTATATAAGCAAATCGAATTGTATTTCGAGTTTAGTTCCAACTTCGATGCGCTCGTGTTATGTTATAATTTATAAGTAAGTGATAAATAATAATAAATCCATTTTAAGAATGTTATAGATTTATTGTTAGTTAATTGTAAATTCAGTAATTTTGATTTATAGTCACACTTCGTTTTGTTATTACATTTTGCTATATGATATTATGTTTTGTATTTCTTTGTAAAAATGGTATTTCCGTTAAACAAATAAATAAATAAAATAAAACCGCATAATTAAATTTACGTTACACTGTGGTCAATTAGTCGATCTTGAAGTTGTGTGAGTTACACATGGGACCACTTTTTTCGACATTCCGACAGAAATGGTTAATTTTATCCAAAAAAATTAAACGCATTGGTATGATTTTTTTATGAGAAAGTAGCTTAATATGTCCAAACGAGCTCACGAAAACCGCATCTCGATATCTTGTTTCTAATCTAAAATTTAGGCAAAAGAAAATTGTATACCCTTCAATGCTCATTTTTCTTAACTAATTTTTCGGGAATTCTTTTTATTACGTAAGTGGCGGCCCTGCTAAGGATCGATTTAAAAAAGAAAGGTTTTTAATGCTCGAAATGCTGACCATCACGCTCTATGCATTCCTGAAGCCTCTACGCTTTAAAAAAATATCTCCTTACAGAAAACGAAGACAATTGAGACTCTTGGTGGCACCAGGAGTAAGTAACACCATTGAATAAAATAATAAATAGCGTTTTATTCAATGGTAACACTGATTCTAGAATGAAATAAGTATTTGAAGGCGACGGGATTCTTTAAGATTGCTCTAATCTAATGTTTTAAACATCGATTGCGAGATCGATTCAAAATTAAACAAGTTGTAAATCAGCATATACATGTTAAAGCGCATTTTTAGTAATAAGTATCTACATAGGGTAGATCAGTATTTTATTAGCGAAGTTTAAAATTATCGATCTCACGAGTAATCCAACTAAAAATAAACTAGAGCCCGCACATCTACACTATATCACAATAGCAGAAAGCTTTTAGTAAAAATTTGAAGTGTCTAGCTAATGTAATTGCAGAAATTTCAGCCGGACAGCCAGCCAGCCATAACGAATATACTAGCGTAATTTTTTTTTCAAAAATGCGCTAAAAAGCACGAAGTATTGAAAATAGAAACCGAACCCAGAAAAAACACGAAGAATTATCTTACTGGGCATAAAATGCAACACAATAATTAACAAAAGACTAAGATAATTAAGTAGTCAGATTGACTTCATTTAAAGATTTTTTTCCACAAAACATTCAAGCCATTGGTTTAAATTTAAATTGTTACCCTTGGGATGCTGAATCATGGAATAGCCGGATGGAATTACTCATAAAGTCATTGATCTAACCAACTTAAAGTGTTTACCGTTATGTTTTATGTCAACAATTTACTAGTTGATGTTAAACGCGAATACGTATAAAACAAAGCAACGGCGAGGGTTACACATAGCGACGTGCTTAATTTCTGCGTGCCTAAAATGATAAGAGATCTTAGACTTATCAAACGAACTAATGTTCGCATTTGTATTAAGCTAATTAAGAAAGAAAAATAATTTAAGTGCTTCCATCATAAAGGTCAGTTCAATTTATTTTGTCCCTTTATTTCTATTTCGCACGTAACAATTAGCATGGTAATTAATTGTAGCTATTTTATGTGAAGTTACGGTACCTTCACTCTTTTTGCAATTGCCAATTGCCCCTTCTTTAAAAATGAAGTCTTTGTGTGGAAAAAGAAGGGATGACGCACTTGGACACACTAAATTTGGTGATTCACCAGAAAGTAAAAGAATGTAAAATATGCACTCGGGTGACTAATAATGATCTATCGACTACCACTTTCAAAATTCTAACTCTCACCGTACATTAAAACGACACAAATAAGTGCTCTTTTATCCTGCATTATAAAAGTAAAGTAGTCGATTAATTCCAAATTCCAGACGCGCCTACGCCTTCAAATATTTATGGATTATCGCATTCCTGTTATTCTTTTTATGACTTAAGATTCGTGCATAAAAGAGTTATGTTGTAATATTATTTTTATGGATGAAATTTAAAGTTAGCGTTATCTGTAACATTAGACGAGGGCGTTCTTTGCTTATTGCTATAGAAAAATTATGCCACCAGGGAATTGGAACTAAGTATATAAGTGCCAAGAAAATTACTTTTATTAGTGCGAGTACTTTAGAATCTGTAATTTTATTTATTTATCAATTTATTTATTGCCAAAGAGATTTTATTTATTTTATTCTCGATTTAAACTCTCCTTCTCCAAGGTTACCATAAGAAATCACAGTGATGGAAAAGGACGAGAAACAAGAATGATAAAAAACCCCAATTATTACAAATCGCCATAATCGCTTAAAAATTACTACAATCGCCCAACAATTATTAAAATCGTAAGACAATTACCGAAATCATTGGATAATTACGAAAATTGCCATATAATAACTGCCAGATGCTCTAATTATGCGACTGCTAAACAAAAACATGTTTCAAAATCCACTTGTGGGTGTTGGCACGTAACAAAACTGTAAATGATAAGTAACGGGTAAATATACCATAGTACCTAGCTATCAATTAGCGAAAATGCTAAGTCTCTAGGTGGCTCTGGGCTGAGATCTCGATGGAACAGACAGACAGACAGACGACGGAAAATCGAGCACATAAGCTTACGGACAATCTGTGGTCGAGTCAAAATTTTGCTTTTGTTTAGTTAACGTAAATTGAATTATTGGTTCTTATCAAGGTTTTTATTGAGTTTTAATTACGGTTCTAGTATACGATTTGGCTTAGTGTCAACCGTTAGACATTGCTATCGCAATATTTTTGTGCCGCGCTATTCGCTATCTCTCTTGTTTATTTGTGTTGTTATCTGTTCCAGATAAGCCAGAAAAGCGCCCTTCTGATTTCAAAAAGCCTGTTTAGATATTGACCCCGACTAAGAGTTGATCTTTCTTTTTGCTAAAAATTGATTTAAATCTAGGTAAACATTGACATTTCAGATCTAGTGTGCTTATCTTCATGTGCTAATTACGTTTGCTCAAAGTGAACGTAACAAATTAAGACACGTTTTCTCGTGTTATTTGGCCCTTGTTAGAGCAATCTAGCTACTTTTTGGTTCATATCAGAACTTTCTAGGTTCTTAAGACGTTGTGGATCTCGTTGTGGATAGAAGGCCCTGAAAAATCATTTAAACATTTCTTTGAAGGCTGTTTAAGCACTGTCTATCACTTTTCCAAAGTTTCTATGTAGATTGTAGGTACAGAATCCTTCTATAATTTTCAAAGCTTTCTACAGCTTTGAAAGAAACTCTAAAAAGACAAGGAAATTCCATCAGTTGCATTAGACCACGATTATGCATCTAATTTTGAAAATGAATGTGAAGTTTCTATTCATGCAAATTTTACGGTTTCAATTTAATCCGAGATTTAATGGTTTGTAACAAGTACAGTAAGTATTTGTTATGGCATATGAGCCTGAAAAGCTTTTCCTTTTTATGTACTTATATTAAATAAACAATTCAAAACACGGATGCGTTTTATTGTTTTAAAGAGTATAGAATAGTAGCACTCGTACTAGCAGATACCGCGAAGTATCCCCTTGGGCACTCTCCTTTTCATTGATGGCACATACGCTCGGTTTCGGCCTCACCTCAGACACACGGCAAACTATTAGAAGTATGAACTATAGTTTACGACCTAATCAAAGACCTACCAAATATATAACAAAAATTCGTATAAATATGTCGAGTCGTTTTCGAAGAGTGCGACTACCGTTCCCGAATATTCGCAACAATAAATTACGGGAATTTTACAACACTACTAAATAAAATAATAGTTAATATAATACGAGATAAAGGATAATATCAGAAATGAAGAAATGATTCTTTCCATCTTCTGATTTGTGTAATGGCTTGGTGCCTTTCAATTGTATGTAATCTTCAACACATTTTGTGCATTACATTCATTTTAAATGTATTTTAACCGCATCTGCCAATCACGGAATTTAATTTGCGGGGATGTCTAAAAATAAATTGTTGTCAGGATAGCGGATAGATCTGTAAATTCCAAGAAGTATGTGTTAACTCCCTGAAAGATCTGCAATTGCCAGAAAGATCTATGAATTCCCAGCCAGATACATCTGTAAATTCCCAGAACTATTTGGCAGCCCTTTCGAATTAACAGATAAACGTGTAACTTGACAATTAAATTGCAAAATGCGCGACAAGGAAATGATTAAATATAAAAATGGGACAAGCTGCATCTTACGAGTAACGAGGGTGGGCTAGGGGCGAGTATACTATTGAATTTTTGTAAATCAGATCCGAGTCCGACATACAGCCTTATTGTGCAAGCCCTAAGCTAGTTTTTCCAGATAGGCTCCTGAAACATAAAGTCCCAGGATCTCGGGTAGCACTTTTGAAGCAAGCAACCATACTTTCCACTTGGGAAAAATCAGACACCCCATGTTTTTCTGGGTTCTCAATGAAAAACTTGGCAGTAAAACAGATTCGAACATTTTCAATAGCGTCGAAAGACTATTTTTGTTAATGAGCTGCCATCTTCCTCAAAGAGAAAAAGAGAAGTAACCGTTTCGCCAGTCTATACACCAACCTCGACACCAACACAAAGGTAGGTATAATACTCGGTATAATAAATACAAATTTAAAGACGATGATTGGATCATTTGCAAAAACTTGAAATCTATAATTTCCCGATTTTCAGTGATGGTGATCGTGACGCATTTTTGTAAAGAATTCATTAAATCTATTATCGGGAATACGTGATTAGAAGGCAATTTTACTGGGAAAAGAACGTTTCGCATTAATGCTATGAAAACCGCAAAATTAACATTCGATCATACTAACGATTAAATTCCACTGTAAATTATCGATTGTTCAATTTAAATTGGATGACGTCACGATACTGAAAAAACGGGTCAACAAACTACTCGCCATCCGACAAAAACGGACAAAGTCGACGGTTCTGCTGCAGCATTGAAATCACCACCGATAAAATTCACCTACCGTTGTCACATCGCCGAATTTTCCCACATTCCCACGTTCTAAAGGTTGATGATTCGACGGATGATGATTCCCCATGTTTTTACTTAATAAATAGCAACAATAAAAATCCACTAATTACGAGCACAAAGCACCCCGAACAAACATCACAGCCACAATTTCAGCAACTGTAGGTAGTAGTTTTAAAGGCAGATGTGAATCCCTACAGCAGATGTATTTAGGGTGAAGGTTGAACGTCTATAATAAAATCGCCTAATGAAACAGCAAAACATAGCAGGTCGGTCCTCTGCAGCAAAGGTGAAGAATGCAGTTGCACGTAGAATTCACATGTGAAAAGACTAGAATCGTTCAGTTCAGCGATTTTCTTATTTTATCGAACCGCTTTCCTTGGATAGTGGATGGCCTTGAATACACAACCGAGAGGTCACCAAAACCAAGGACAATAAAATCTAAAACTAATATCACAGAGGCAACGAACACGGAAACGGCACAATTTCGAAAAACAAAAACAATTCAGGAGAAAAACGCGACGCGCCCGAAATTCGTACGCGAACCGACGACGTACCCGCTTGCGACTATTTTGTGGTAATAATTTGTTGGTGACGGTTAGGTAAAGGTTTCCCCACACTTCCATATTACCAGAACTAAAAACATCTGCATCAGGTAGCTCCTACCGATGCCCGCCGCATGCAAGAAACCGAAACTGTTAAACGTTATCCAAAATAACTTAACGCGTTGTCATTACCTAATTAATACGCTCGTAATTTGCGTAATGATTATTACGCATTTACCGGTTAACGATAATGGGTACCATTGTGTGGGAATTATTTATTTATGTTAATGACCCCCGCCTTGCCTATTCGCTACCTACAATACACAGACATCTCTGCTGTACAGACGCTATCAAGCACACTTCCTCTTTTTGAAACGTTAACAAGTGCCTCGGCTGCGGTATATTTGTACCTCGTGTTTTTTGTGTTTCCAATCAAAAGACCGGTGACCACCGCCATTCTGAAAGAGTAAATGCAAGAACTCAGAGAAACCGTAATCTAAATTTCGGCTTCCCGTCTATGTTGTCGCAGCGTTGTAAAAATCGACCGCGAATAATTTAGACGTTGACATTTAGGTATTCACACTGCCGTGACAGCCTCATTAATTTTTAGATGGTCAGTGAACTGATGCCTATGCAATAACGTCATAACATCTATCCATCAAGTGCGAGTCTTCTTTTGTATTCATAAATGGCATCAGTGGTGAATTACAGAGGCTGTAGCCAGTGGTTAGGAGAAGAACTGAAAATGCAGAGGGCGGAGATGATTCTTTTTAGTTTCATCTTAAACGGGCACATATGTTTAATTATTATTATTTATTTAATTTGCCCATCTGTCCGTTAGGGTACATGACACCCAGTAGGTACTCAGCAATTGACTGTCTGGCTAGGTTTTTTAAAAATAATAAGTCAATACTAGCTAGAACCAAAACACCACTGTATATAAACTGTCCCAGATTTTGATCTTCTACGAACAAGAAATCCGCAGAGTGAAATTGTGAATTTATTGAAGATGTACGACCCACAGTAACAATATGGTCACAGATTTTATCCCATACGTGTGCCACCTGTCACCTGTCTTCACTTGTCAACAGGCCCTAAAATGCCAACTAGATCAATTTTTTAAACATTTTCATGTTTAAAGCACGTGAGCGCTGAAAGTAATACACCTACATCTGAAAAAAAGATTAAGCTCTATATTCAATGTGGAATATCGACGTAAATATCGAAAATACAAAAAAAGTGCACACCATCTTTTTTATAAAAAATTTTATTATCTTTCTTTTTTATATGAAACTTTACTTGCTAGAATGCACGATTACCGAGATATCAGCGGAAAAGTGATTTGGAGTACCTTTTTCCAAGATGGCGGCTCGAGCTCTAGGAGTTTCGGCCCCGACTTTTAGTATGTTCGAATACAAGCCCTAATGTACCTCTATACCAATTTTCAGCTTTCTTTCAATTACTTCCGCTATTCGTGGAAATTTGATCTAATTTGACTGTACTAAAACGACAGTCAGTTCCATGAATAAGAAAGTTGGGATTGCGCAGCTTAATCGTCAAGATTTTCCTCGAGATTTTCCTTGGCTCAGGTGCCAGAGTTATACGCCACCGAATGGTAGGTGGTTGGTAAATGCGCTAAAAAATAGGGCGACTGAAACCGAAATTTGGATATATAGTATATCTGCTCCCTAAGACGCAATGTGATGGGCGTATCCGAGATACCAGTCTGTGGTCGACTGTATCCTCATATAAATACGGTCTTTTAAAACCCCACACGCATTCCACGGCAATAAAGCACTGTCCATGTCATCCGGATAATAATAAATAAATAAATTACCAAATAAACTACTACGGGAAGGGTATGGGACAAAAATAGTTATTTCCTTCATAATATTCTAATGAAAAACTGCTGTCTCTGTCTGTTCCAATCCCCTACCAATTACGGTTCCGTCCATGTATCGCCGTCTTTGTACAACTAAATGTACCATTTCGGAAAACCAAAAACATCAATGCTTTATAATTGGAGGACAACAATATTTCCCTTCATGCAGGGGTGGACCAAGCGGAGTCTTGTCCGCTCTCGAAATTATGGTAACTTATTTTCATGGTTCCTTTACAAAATACAAAAGATAAATGTACCAACTCAACATACCACAAAAATTAATTACGGATTGTTACGTAAAGGCATGGAATAAAAACACTTTTTTTTAAAGTGTAGATTTTCGGACCTTATTTTTTTCCAGCGTAATTTAACGGCCGAGGTATATCTAAATTTTCGAATGATTTGATGTATGCGTACATTAGCTGTTTTATACCAAAATGAAGGCGATCCGGATATAACTCCAACCGGAATATGGTCCCAGCAAGACGGGGCCTCTCCACATTTTGGAATAAATGTCTGCTAGTACCGTTGGATAGGAAGAAGAGGTCCAATAGATTGAGCAGCTCGATCACAAGATTTAAGTCCGCTGGATTTCTTCCTTAAAAGTAAGATTTACGATTTATCTCAATCCGCCGAGACATTGCGAGCTTAAAAAATCGCATTTGTACAGAGATTATTATCCCTCTCTTGTTTTGGGCCCTCGACAGGCATGCGCCCAATTACAGAGTGACCCGCATTTGAGATGAGAGCCAATCACATCTGAAGCTGTTTCAAATACGATTGATAAATTTCAAGCTAGAGTTTAATACTGCCAGGCTGTGAACGGTACCTACACATTTGAATATTTATTGCAGTAGTTTGTACTGCACTGGTTTCAATAACTAGATGAGCATAAGCATAAAACGGCCATGGGTGACTAGATATAAATAAAACAAGTAGAAATTGTGCAGATAAAGCGCATTTTTTTAAAACCGAAATAGCTTAGTAAATGGTTGGCTTATAAAGGGAGGAGGCTCTTTACACACAAACATTTAAGGACTGCCTGGCATACATTCAAAATCTTCCGACACTCCATTCTGCAGATTTTACCTTTGAGAGTACTTTTCTCCGACAAACCGTTTTCGAGATATTCGCTCTTAAAGTTTTGACATTACTAATGGATATACTTCTTCCAGACGTCCCAATCGCCCATAGACGATGGTTGGTAAAAATTAATTCCTTTCGTTGAGACCTTTCAGTAGAGTACCATCAAGGATAAAACCAGTTAAACCCCCCCCCCGACCGCCACCAAATCCCTTCTTTTGATAAGGCGTCAAGAAGTATGACGGAAGTTAATAGAAAACAGTTCCTTTCAGACCTTTAATGTGAATACCATGAAAGATAACCTTAATTTCTACCCCCTCCCTCCTCCTCCCTGCCACCTGCTGATCTAGGAAAGGAGTCGCGCAGATGTACAAACCAATTCATTTCGGCGAGACCTTTAATTAGAATACCATGAGGGGTAGAACGTGTTTACACCCCCTCCTCCTCTATTTCAAAAATTTTTCTTTCCACCACTAAAGACGTGCGTATGCAAATTCTGAGGCCAGTTGGTTGTCGCATGTAAAAGTTATGCACGTTTTACATTCAAAAACAGTGTCTCAGGATATAATTCAGGACCATTCCCCTAAAAGTAGTTCCAAACTGGAGACCTGGATCCGGACGGACGGACAAAACGCAAAATATAGCACATTTTTTTAATTCTTAAAAATTACAAAACCAGTGATACTAAACACTTAGTACTTCATTTGGGAATTAATTTTGAATTTTTGCTTTGAAGTTTACAATGGCACACACAGATTAATCTGTGATTCCATGACCATGATTCCAGACAAAGACAATAAACAAATGAATTTGGTTTCAATCACAATCGCGCATCCTGACACTTGACAGCAAGCAGCATGCTAGATTTGAATTCAATTCAAAGTTTTTTTAATAATGAATCACGCATTTCTCCATTTTTAGGGCATTTTTTAAGAGTTAAAAAAAAGTGCTATTGTTGGCGTTTTGTCCGTCCGTCCGGACCCATTTCTGCGGTTTTGAACTACTTTTAGGGGAATGGTCCTAGAATCCTGGAATGTTGTACAATATGTAGCCTATACCTTGATGGTGTGCCAGAGCGCCATCAAATTTCGCTATCTCAAGGGAGAGCCCCCCATGAATTATTTCCTGAGATGCTGTTTTTGAATGTAAAAAGTATATAACTTTTACATGCGACAACCAACTGGTCTCAGAATTTGCATACGCATGCCTTTAGTGGTGCCAAGTAACATTTTTTAAGATGGGAAAGGGGAGTGTACACACATTCCACCCTTCGTGGTATTCTCCTTTTTGAGGTGAGTAGGTGGCCGAGGAGAGGAGGAAGGGGGTAGAAAATAATTTTATCTTTCATGGTATTCCAATTAAAATGCATTATGCGGGTCACTTTGTAATTGGGCGTAAGCTTGTTGAGGGCCTAGATTCTAGGACCTAAAACAAGAGGAGCAATAAATCAATAAATAAATAAATCAATAAATCTCTCCATCATGTTGTTCTACTGATTAGATTAGTATAAAAAAAACCAATATGTTAACATAATAGATAAAAATTATTTAACTTTATGACGCAAATGAGCCACTTTGATCGTAACTAATTTTTATAATTTCAGGCTTGTTTAAAATCCTTGTTATTGGATAAATTAGGCAAAATTGTTGTTTGCGGTAATGTCATTAAGAACGATTATGGTCCATTCATGGCCAGGTAGATTACAAAATAAAATTTAATTGATTTGTTGACCAACCTCGTATGTAAAATACCGAAAACGACGACTCATGCGAAAAATGCCTTGTAAATTTAGAGATCGCTCCAGATCAAACCAACATACATGTCTTAATAATTTTGAAACAGTGGAAACCAACAAGTCCACATTAGGAGTGCTTGGACACCAATTATTCAAATGCTGTCATTGAGATATTCAATCTATCCCCTATCATCATCCCTTAAATTAAATAATGCCAATAGACAATCGCTTTATTATCTATTTTGGAAATAATTTTCAAACGAGCCTGTGAAAAGTTGAATGAAGTTTTGAAAAGGTCCTGCCTTTCCTTGTTTTATTGCAAATTCAACGAAATCAGGGTAAAAAATAAAAATTTCCACCATCATC